CCCTTGCCCCGCCCCTTGCCCTCCTGTCTTTCCTTACACAGAATTAAGTGTGAAGCTGTTCAAAACTTTGTATTTAACAACAAAAAATACATAAAAAGTAAACAAACATGCTTTGATTCGGCTGTTTTAATTGTCACCTGCTGCCATAAAGACCCGGGTTTTTTGAATCCTGGATCCGGTCCTGTTCTGGTCTGTGTTTACAGAGAGGTGGGTATCGAATGCCGTTCCGTGCCGGGCCACAGTAAGGGCGTCGGCTACCGTCCGGGGCGGAGCCTCAGGAGCGTGAAGTCAGACCACCTGTGGAACGCGGTGGTCCTGGGGGGACAGTGGTTCCTGCTGGATGCCTGTTGGGGGGCCGGCAGGGTGGACATGGAGAACAAGAGCTTTGTCAAAAGGTGAAGGAAAGTTCACGATTCTGAAAATACTTTGATTTTGATCTAAAGTGGATTTAAAAACCCAAATCTGTCCTGCGTCTTTAATTCCGTTTTTTTTTTTTTTTACTTAATCATGTTCTGTTTTATCTGTTCATAAATCAAACCTTCGGCTCATTCAGCTGATGGGTGATTTTTATGGTTTTGCCTTTTTTATATTGTTCAAAACATGTGATTTTATTTATTTATTATTTATTTTCCCAGAAAAATACATTTCTTCTGAAATCTGCTTCAGCTGCCAGCTGTTTGTTTTCTTATGCTAGAGATAGCTTTTAGCTACCATTTCAATACTTATGGTTAAYTTTTTGCAAATTTTAGCTTTTATTTAGCTTCTTATAAATTTCTGCTCTTAGCCTTTTGTTACATATAGCTTTAAGCTAGAGTTTTAGGTTAGCATTTACCTACTTTTAACTTCTAGCTATACTTTTGATAACTTAGCTTTTAGCTAGCCTTTTGCTACTTTAAAGACAATTAATAGTTTGCTTATTTTAGTTTGGTTTTAGTTACCTTTAACTTTTAGCAGTTTTTATCATTTTAAGTTTAAGCTAGTGTTTGGTTAATTTTAGCTAGCATTGGGCCAATACTGGCTTTTGGCTAGTGTTTAGGGTTTTCTGGCCTTTAGCTACCATTTAAATTTTTTCAGCTAGCAATGAGCATATTCTGGCTTATAGCTAGTGTTCTGCTACTTTTGGCTTTTTATTAGCATACCAAATCTTTAGGCTTTTAGCTGTTCTTTTGATAGTTATAAGTTTAAGCTAGTGTTGTACAACTTTTATCTAGCGTTAATATTGGCCTTTAAGTAGCATGTAGCATGCTGATTATTTCGGCTTCTAGCTAGTGTTTTGCTTATTTTCACAGTAGCGGCTCCGTTTCGGCTGCTTCAGCAGGTTTCAGCTGTGACTCGGCTCTCGGAGCAGAACGATTCGTTTGTTCGGTGAATCGTTGAGTTTCTTCAGTTCGGCTGCCGTCCTGCCTGAATCCTTCACGTTATTTACGGCTGATTTTCACGTCTGTTTTGGCCGAAGGTTTGATGACTTCTACTTCCTAACGGACCCGGAGGAGTTGATCGATTCTCACTTCCCGGACGAGGAGCAGTGGCAGCTCCTGGACCCCCCGGTCCCCCTGGAGGAGTTTGAGAAACGGGTTTTTAAGACCTCGGCCTTCTTCACCCTGGGCCTCAGACTGAGGACTCCTCATCATTTCCACATCCTTACAGGTTCACTAATAATTTATATAATTGTAATAATTTATTTTGTTTTTTAACCTGTCTGTTATTGAAATATCTCATGGTTAGCCGGATGGACTTTAATGAAGTAATTATTGAATTATTCGAGCCAATTCAAGATGGCCGCCATAAATGATCACATTTTGCCTTCCACACGAGTGGTTAAAACTCACAGTTTTACAGATATGGAGCTCAGATTTGGTGTGGTAGTAGCTGAGCGTCATCCCCAACACATACTCTGATCTTAGCTGAAAGCTCTGACAGGAAAGAGACCTTTCTTCCAGCAGGATCACCAATAAACCATTTCATAGTTCCGGGCCGAGCTCAGACATTTATTAAGAAGGGGGTCTCTGCAGTCACTCAGCATGAGTTTATTTTGTGGGAGGAGTTTACCCAAGACGTGATTGGTTGGACTGACAGTGGGGTTTGAATAAGCTGGGGGGCAGCGGGGGGTAGCTTGGTTGAATCGGGCAGGAAGCACCTATATTTATTTAAATATAAATATTAATGTTGGTCATAACTTAAGACAGGAAGGTGTTTACGCACGAAATTTGACGTCAATAGATCATGTTTACCTGTTCACATAATTTTATTTATGTCATTGTTCTGTTTTAAACTGTACACAGACAATCAATAAATCATATTATTTTACTGTTACCATTATTTCCTGTTTTAAGTTGCCCCACAAGACAAGTCAGTCCAAACAATCACAGTCAGGGCAAACTCCGCCCACACCAAGGGAAAACCCCGCCCACAAGACCTCTGCCAATCACAGTCAGGGCAAACTCCGCCCACACCANCACAGTCAGGGCAAACTCCGCCCACACCAAGGGAAAACCCCGCCCACAAGACCTCTGCCAATCACAGTCAGGGCAAACTCCGCCCACACCAAGGGCAAACCCCACCCACAAGACCTCTGCCAATCACAGTCAGGGCAAACTCCGCCCACAGAACAACATATACTGCAGAGACCCCTACTCGCATGTTTTGGGAAAGCCCTCAGTTTGCCATGGAAAGATTATTGGAGTTGAACAAACTAAATTAGTAAATTTACTCCGTTCTACAGACCAGGTGTGTTTGCTCCAAACGGATCTATGTTAAACTTTCCTTCGGGGTCATAGATCAGCATTTTTTGTAAACATCTAAGCTACAAATCTGCTTTTTGAGCTTGTTGAATTGATACAATTCCAGTGGAGTTTTCAAACCACCCTCAGCCGCTGCGTTTCCATTGACCATGAAAAGGCGCAAATTAGAATTTCGAAAATAAAATTGCTTAATGGAAACGCGTCAGTTTTGAAAAAAACTTACGTTTTTCGATAAAATGGTTTTGTGCTAGGATATGGTGGTTTTTTGGCCGTTTCAAAATTGGCGTATTTCGCAAAACTGCAATGGAAACACTTTTTTCGCATCACATGAGTCACGTGATCAACAACCGGATGTTTTTACTGGTGAAAAAATCGACGAAGAAGACAACAGGAAGTAGAAGTAGTAAAATCACAGATTACAATTTCCCAAAAACACAGCATATGTAGCCACTCTCAAGTATGAGGGACTCGTCTCTCGAAAGCCTGGATAAGACACCGACATCTCCTCTGATGATGAGCGCTAGTGTTGTGGTAGCAAAATGCATGTTTACAGCTGTTGCCGTCATGTTTGTAACGACTTATCACGAGAACAAACGTATTCACGCGACTTTAATAGCATTTCTTACTTTATGGAAACACTGCAGTTGCGAAACTGTGTTTTTCGACTTTAACAGAATATCGACAAAGTTTTGCGCACATTTTTGATGGAAACGCAGTAAATGTTATCTTGGTTGACCGGTGACCACTTTCACTCATAACTACGAAATGTTCCATTACCAGAAGAGTTACTCTGTCAATGAGAATTTGTTTTAAGTTGACAAAGAAAAAATTGATCTGGTTTTCAGATGACGGCGAGGCCAACGTGTCCCTCGGCTTCTCCAGGCCGACCACGTTCACCTACGAGATCACGCCTCACCGCGACCTCCTCCACTCCGGAGCTCTGGAGCAGAAGGAGGCGGGCGGCTCCTCGTTCGGCCTCCTGACTGTCTCCCCGCAGAGCATGAAGCTGCAGCTCCTGCCGCCTGCCAGCGGCACCTACGACGTGAAGCTGTTTGCGAGGCCCGAGTCGACCGCCGCGCCGCTGGTTTGGGTTTGCTCCTTCACGGTGGAGTGTCCGCTCCCGAGGGCCACGGAGGACATCCCAGACAACCCCTTCCTGTCTTGGGGGCTGCAGCCTTTCGCGGCTTCGTTGGGCGTTTCCGGCAGCAGCCGCGGTGGGGAAGTAGCCGAAGTTAACGAGGGAGTCTTAGACGTGGAACTGAAGACCTCCAGGCCTCTGATGGTGCTTTGTGAACTGGTCCACCCACATCTGGAGGCGTCTGCAGCCAAGCGCTGCCTGGCCACTCAGATTCAACCAGACATCCTGACGTGTCACGTTCTGTGTCCACTGCGAGGTTTCTACCGGTTGTCGGTGTTCGTGCGAGACTACGAGAAGGCCGAGGCTAAATTCCAAAACGCCGCCAACTTCCTGCTGCACTGCAAGGGGAAGGTGGTTGACCCGGATGAGCTGTTTCCTCCTAACCTGGGCTCAGCTTGTGGGCCTGGGACCCGGACCTCTGAGGCGGGGTTGTCTAAGTTCAGCCACACCGCGGCCACGCTGAGCACCCAGCAAGGGAAGGTCAACCTGACCTTCTGCAACCAGCGGGACCTGCACCTGCACTGCGTGCTCGGCAAAGAGACGAACGCCTCGGCGTTCCCTCTGTCTCGTTACCTCTTCTGCACGTTCACGGACAGCAAGGTGACGGTGAGCCTCAGCCTGCCGGGGCCCGGCGTGTACCGACTCGGACTCTACGCCTGTATCGACCCCGGCTCGGACTTCAGTCCCATGTGCGACTTCGTGGTGAGGAACAGCTTCTCTCAACCGAGACCTCCGTTCCCCCGCGTCTACTCGGGGTGGAGGAGGGGCTGCGTGCTCTTCGAGCCCCGCATGGGCCTCCTGGAGCCCCTCTCCAGGGTCCAGTTCAGGGTCCGGGTGCCCGGGGCCCAGAGGGTGAGCGTGGTGGGGGACGGACGGACCGATCTGAAACTGAACAAGACCAGGATCTGGGAGGGGGAGGTCTTCACCACCGACAGTCCTCAGGAGCTGAAACTGGCCGCCTGCTTCGAGGAGTCGGCTGACATGGCCGTTCTGATGGTGTTTGAGGTGAGGAAGAGGAGCGATGAAGAACCAAAACAAAGTGTTGGACAATGAAGCCGCTGGTGGAGAACCAGGGTTCAGGTGTGTTGACTTCAACTGGATGAACTCGTTTTTATTCTGACGATCAGAGCTTTGTTAAATTAATACTTTAAACCAAATATGAAACATTTGTTCAGAAAAAAACAGATAAAATCTCGCAGACACAAACAGTAAACTGTTTAACACGAGTTTATCAGCTGTGGTTTGTTTATTTACATGACTTCAGCTCTGATACAAAGTCGACATCTAAACTTACAGTTTTGTTTTATTTTTTACTGAGTTGTTTTCTTCTCACCTGTTCTAAAGTTCCCGTCAAACTATGATGTTTTGAAACTTTTAAAAACCTCCACATTAAGGATGGTGTTAAAAAATCAACTGTAAGCCTCTTGTAGGTGTGTGTACACTATTATTCTGTCAAACTGATCAAATATATAACTTTTATTAGTAATTTAGACATAAAATGAGTCAGATTGTGGAATAGTCTGGAAGATGATGTTAAAAGTGTCAAATCAATGTACATGTTTAAGAGAACATGTGGCCATTTAGTTTGTTGTTCTGATTTGATGTTTTTGTTTTGTTAACTGAAGATTATCAGTGTGCTTTGCCAATGCAATGCACACTATTGTGATTCGTTTCCCATCCAAGTCATCTCCACTTTGGCACGCTTCTCCTCCGACTTACTTTGTCCTAGAGCTGCCATTGTAATTTATATCTGTAAAGCTCCTGTGCCAAATGATGGCTATGCCTTTTGGTGCCTGTACAACTCATAGTTTTTGAAATATTATTGTTTAATAAATTATAATGGGAGTCAATGGACCTTGTATTGGTCCAATACTGCCCCCTGCTGTATCTACGCAGTATGGAACTGCACCATAGTTTAATAATTATATTTAATCTCAATTATTGCAGTGATTACAATATTGATATATATATGTAATTTGATGTATTACTATATTATGTCTTACAAGCATAAACATTTTATATAATATTGTTCTACTGTTGTAATATAAGGCAGTTCTTTGTCAACGATCGTCATTGGCAATGTTGCCTCTTTCTACACATAGAAAACAACACTGGGATTGTCCTTTCTCCCAGCACCAATGGTCTTGTGGTTAATGCCACAGCCTTTCATGTGGGAGATCAGGGTTCAAATCTCAGCTACAATAGGTTTAACAAGAAAGTTATTCTAACATCATATTTTCACACAATTACCCTCATTACACACACCTGCTGACAGCCACAAGCTGGTACTTGATTAGAAAACACATTTGAACTTGGTCAGTTCATTCTGCAAGTCCATTGCTGCAGGCAATGACATGCTACAAGGCAATGCACACTTGTTTTTACATCGTAAAAAACCATGTCTAGTTATAGTTTGAATTTATACTTGGGAAAAAAAGTGGCAGATATTATAAGATTTTTTTCTTCTCTTCTTTCGTTTAATTTTATTTGTATTTTCTTTTTTATTGTATATAGAATTAATTTTGTTTTTATGGAATGAATAAAGTTTGAAAAATAAAATATAAATTGTCTGAAATGTTATAGTGTGGCAGGACCTTAATCTGTGGGAGAAGCTCAGATCGGACTGATGTTAAAAAGCTTTTTAATAATTAAAGGCCGTCTAAAGTAAAAATAAATGTGTTCTGAGTTTGTCGTCACACCACAGAATAATGTGTTACTAATCACCCAGCCAAGTTTGAGCAATTAAAAACACAGTTAACCTTATAAAATTATGTGTTAAAAGTAATGAAGTTAGCTGTGGTCTGGAATGTTGTGGGCGTGACATCACGAGGCTGCCCTTTAAGACACGCCCAAAAAATCCTGAAACGCAGATATCTTGTTGCACAAATTGAATCATATCTCCACTTTTCAAATATCTATTGAGAGAGTTTGTACTCGTTTACAACAATGCATTTATAATGTTTAAAGAAGAAAATGGTACATTTTACTTTACACGGCCTTTAAAAACGAATTAATCTGTCATTAAAACCCCATTCTGTGTTTACGTTTGTGTCGTAACCAAACAAGCAGAAGGTCATTTGTTCTGGTTCTGGTTCCACAGAAATGTTAGAGCTGAACTGTGGACTTTGAGACGATAACAGCTTTATTTACTAAATGTTTTATGGTACAGACATGGTGCTCACTGTTGATTTGTGCTTCGTCGTTATGCTTAAAAAAATAAATCTGCATGATAAAACGGTTGTTGTTAAAACTTAATCAATAAAAATGACTTTAAAGACAGATTTGACTCAGTGTGATTTGTTCCTGACATGAAAACTCTTCAAACACAAACAGTCAAAGAAAACTCCTTTATATTTAAGAACTTATGAAACACAGGATTTTACACGTTTTGTCACATAAATGCATATTTTCTTTGGAACTTTGCTCAAAGTGAAACAGGAAGTGACATCAAAGGGGAACTCTTTATGAAAAGGGTTTTGTTTATTCAAATATTTAATCTTTGACTCTTCATCTTTTTTAAATTTATTCATTTCATTTAACTAAAAAAAACAAAACAAATTCACTTCAAACTTAAAAAAAGGCAGCAGAAGAAAAATCTTAAATCTGCCCATTTTTCAAAAATATTWATTTCAAATCATACAATTTCAATAATAGAACAAAACAAAAAACTTAAATTCCTCAAACAGTAATTCATATAACTGCACATTATACAACCTTAGATCTCTCCATTAAACCAACCCTGATCATTCTCAAACTTTTTAACCGACCCAGCCTTTTTACAGCCTCTCTCCAGATTATTCAGTAATCTTATTCTTTTGACTGAAGAACTTCAATCCTTCAAATTTGTTCCAATTTTTGGTTTTACAAACATCGCAAGTCCCTTCAGATTATAACAACTGTCCTGCTTAATAAAATGTAACTGAGTGTTCGAAGGATAAAGACTCAAAATAATCTAGAAACATCTTCTTCTCGTCAGATTAACACTGTTTACATGCAGACATTCCCCTRTGACATCACTTCCTGTAACTGAACATGTAAATATCTCGACAGCTGTTCATCTCAGCTGCGTCAATTTTTTTTGCAACATTATGTTTTCAATGCTGTCTTTCTAAAAATTCATATTTTTTTTTACAAAGGTTTGATGTCACGGGCACTTTAATGTTATAATGGATAAACCAACTCAGTTTCTGTGTACATATTTATGTGGTCTGATATTAATTAACAAATTAAACTTTTCTTGTTCTATCACCTGAAGCAAAAAGCCAACAGTCTTTAATGGTAAAATATTTCACGAATAACTGGACGAATTTTAATAAAAACTTCAGAAAATGTCTCTCTACAGCAGGGCTATTGAACTGGTGGCCCGCTGGCCACATCTGGCCCATGAGTGACCAAAGCTTGGCCCATCAATTGGTTTATTCATCTCTTAATCCCAAACCCCTGGCCTTCTATTGTTCTTTTACATTTATGTTTGGTCTCTACAGAAACATTTTGGCTTCAAGCTGGTAGAAACCATTTCTATAAACACTCAAGACTGTTAAAATTAGAAGTTAAAGATAAAATAAAAGTGAAAATTGGTTTAAAAATGTAAAGTCAGAGATGTTAAAATATTATTCGTGTTAAATAAGAGGCAGAATTTGTTGTTGTTTTTGTTTTTGTTGTTTTACTTTTCTAGGGTTCTGTATGTTGTATTCATGATTACAAAATAAACTATTTCAAAGGTAACAGATCTTTGTGATACTTGGTTTATTTACAGAATAACTTTACTTCCTGGACGTTCGGCCCCTCACTAACTGCAGTAACTGTGGCCCCCGGAGGTGATTTAGCTGAATAGCCCTGCTTTACACCACATTCAAATTCCCCAAAAAGCACAAAGATGGCTCCGACTCAACCAGTTTTACAGAGATTAGGGTAAAATTTGAGTGGTAGTAGCTGAGAGTCGTTGGAGCTGTCTGCAGACGGTGATTTGATTCAAACATTTTACAGTTTCTGAGAAAAACCGTGTAAAGAAAATAAAACCAGTTGAGCCTAAAGAGCGTTTTAATTAGTTTCTATATTCTGGTCCTCTTTAACCTCRTTAACCTCAGAGTGGGAGGGTAAAGCAGCGTCCTCTGAACCCAGACAGGGAATCTAACGTGCGGCTTCACGGCGGTAATGACCCGGGCTCACTCAGCGAGCCGCCGCACACACTTGTGGAAGTGATAAGTGTTTACATGTCTGCCGTATAATAAGGCCACAAATAGCCGGGGCTCGGTCAAAATACGTGTGTGTGTGTGTGTGTGTGTGTGTGTGTGTGTGTGTGTGTGTGTGTGTGTGTGTGTGTGTGTGTGCGCGGGGAACAAAGAGTTACAGGGTGGGCGGCCTTGGCTCGGGTCACTGGGGAGTAATGGGCAGAGAGCGGCGAGGAAACACTTCTGTCAGAGGTTAGAAATGTGAAGAACTGTATCTGCCTGGCAACAACACAAGGACACACACACACACACACACACACACACACACAC